TGCTTCTCCCTCTCCCACTCCCCCTGCTTGTGTTCCTGCTCTCGCTATCTCTCTCTCTGTCAAATAAATAAATAAAAAATTTTAAAAAAAAATTTGTCTAAAAAAAAAAAAAATACCATGCTTGTATTTATTGTATTGGACATTGGAGTTTTTTTCCTTTTTTTTTTAAAAATTGTAAAATCTATATAAAACCTAAAATTCACCATTTTAAATATTTTTAAGTGTATGTTCTTTTTCTTTTGGAGATTATGTCCATTATTTTTGAAATTGCCTATGACTGCTTTAACATCAGGTCAGCTTACACCCATCTGCAGTAGAACATGAAATTAGATGTCTTTTCCTTTTCTATCTTAGGCCATTTTATCAAGAAAGTTGTTGGTCCCGGAAATTGATGATGTCATGCGGAAAGTATCCAAGTTGGCAATTTCTGCACAAAGCGAACCTGTCAGAGTCCAGTGCAGACAGGTTTGTAGAGAGACCTTATTCCCATAGCAAGGATTGGGTCCTGTCTTCTCAGTTTGGTTTTTAGATAGAGACATGTCAACACTGGCTGAATTCTGAAGATGATTTTGTGTCACATTGTTGTTGCTTTATTTTAATACTCAGGAACCCATTTACTTACCAAGTCTGAGGAGCAACTCTGCTTTGTCTTAAGGGCATTTTCAGTTAACATAGAGCACTTTGAGTGATAGCCCATAACATGTGGAATGTTTCACATGGGTGAAGACATTTTCCTTCTGCAGCATAGTAACCTGCACCAAAGGTTTCCATCCATTGGTCCAGTCATCAACTGACTGTGCATATCACTGGGTGCCAGGTGCTGCTGGAAAGGCAGTCAACAAAATTTTTACAGTCCCTATCAATGAAATTTTTACAGTAGACAGGCACAAAGCAAAAATTCCAGTTCTTTAATTACAGACCATTGTAAGTGCCAGGAGGGGGAAAGCGCTGTCCTATTTAATCTTTTACAAGACACACCATTATTTATATACCTCAAAGAAAAAAAAATCTATGACACGGTAAGATGCCATCAATTTTAAGACATAGCCCAATTTCAGAGATGTTAAAATGTGAAAAACTGTGCCTCTTAGACTTGAGAAAATATGGAAAAGCATATGATCAGGTTGAGGACCACCCTGGTGTTAGAATCAGGGAGGACTTTCCTGAGGATTGGCTTATAAGCCAAAATGTGAAGGAAGAATAAGGATTAGCTTTCCAGGTGAAGGAGGTAGCCAAAGCCTGAGGAAGGTAAACCTTGAGGTCGTTAGGGGCCTCGCATTTTGGAGGAGCTAAATGAAGATGGGGAAGGAGCCAGTTCAGGCAAGACCTTATGGTCTTGTTAAAGATTTTAGGGCTTTATTCTAATAGCAGAAAGCTATTGAAATCAAGGGAGGAGAGTGACGTGAGAAGATCTGTATTTATACATTTGTTCATCCGTGATTATATGAGTGCATATCACATCCAGGATAGAAGGGTTTGAACTGGAAATATGAACTTGGGGTTGAAGGAAGCTGTGGGCTGCTGAGGAGGCCCTGTTGAAAAGGGAGGAAGCAGGTCTTTAGAAAAAGTCTCCTTGAGTATTGTTAGGAAGAAGGAGGGGAGGGCCAGCTATTATTTATTAAGCACTAGCTGTGTGCCCAGAACTTTACATACTGATTTCTATTTGAGTTACCCTTCAGAAGAAATACCCCCATTTTATGGCTGGGAAGAAAATAGGCCTTAAGAAGTATAATGATGTGCCTTAGCTTTTGCAGTTTATTAGTAAAAGAGGCTGACTAGTATAATCGCTTGAAAACAGAGCTTTTGGATGCAGATAGACGAGGCATGGAATTCTGGCATTGTCATCTGAGCAGGTTAACTTACCTCTCTGTGCCAATGTCATTCTCTTCATCTGTAAAATGGGGTTAATATCCCCTACCTTCCAAGGGACTGATGACAGTTAACTGAAAAACACTTAGTACAGTGTTTGGCATATAGAAGATGTTTAATAAATAGTTATTATTATCAGTATTAATATTATCACCATTGTCATTCTTATTCAGGGGGGAAATACAGGGTTGAACCACAGTCCATACTGAGTCCACCACAGCATACCAACTATGGAAGAGAGGTGCTTCCTACATGTGAGCTTAGATTTGGAGCCCAAAACAACCATGCCAGTGGTAGGCCAGGACTTGAGTATTAATCAGGCATATGGGGCAGGACCTGAATAAGTGAGGTCAGAGGAGAAAGGAAAGTGCATTGTTGACTCAGAAGGCAGGCTTCACCTGATTGATTACTCTTTTGAAAGGTCTTTATAACTTACCAGTGTGTGTCAGAAAGCAGGTTAGGAAGCAGGAATCCTGGAGAGACAGGACCCAAATAATCATCTGTATTACTTCTGTTCCTAGGTTTTTCTGAAATATATTCTTGACTATCCCCTGGGTGACAAATTGAGACCAAACTTGGAATTCATGCTTGCTCAACTGAAGTAAGTTTAAGCCATAAACTACACAGGGGTAGAGGGTTAGTATCCTCTCTCATTTTAATGTGGCAGCTGTCTTAAAAATGACAAAACCTAAACCTAATGGCAACTTCTCTAAGGGTCTTATCATATGAATCATTGACTTGGTTATCAAACAATGTGCATGGCTTCCTGTGACGGTTCTGTACGTTGCTTTTCGAATTCAGTCTGGGCATTGATTTTCATTAGAGTCTACTTAAGGAGAATGGTAAAAAATCTAACAAAATTACATTTAAAGCTATATGGTAGCATGATATATATATATATATATATATATAAGCATTAAAATTGGGAAAATGGAGGTTTTTCCACTTTTTAAGAAATAGACAAACACCTTTTTTTTTTTTTAAGATTTTATTTGACAGAGAGACACAGCAAGAGAGGGAACACAAGCAGGGGGAGTGGGAGAAGGAGAAACAGACTCCCTGCTGAGTGGGGAGCCCAACGCGGGGCTCGATCCCAGGACCCTGGGATCATGACCTGAGCTGAAGACAGACGCTAATGACTAAGCCACCCAGGCGCCCCGAAACAAACACCTTAAAACAATGTTTAAAATTTTTAAAAACAATTATTGGTAAATTTAAAAGATACTAACAAGTCTATCTAATCTACTTGCCCTAGTTACGAACATGAGACCGGGAGAGAGTCTGCTCTGGAAATGATCTCCTACCTCTTTGACACATTCCCTCAGGTACCTTGAATCATAAACTGTAGCTGTGTTCCCCTTGACCCCTGTGAGCCACAATCCTCCCATATGGGGACCGTGAGAATTCCAATCTGAGTGTGCTCATAACTGCCTGTTTTCTTTTAGGGACTGCTCCATGAGAACTGCGGAATGTTCTTTATTCCTCTTTGTCTAATGATGGTGAATGATGCCTCTGCCATGTGTAAAAAGATGGCATCCATGACAATCAAATCTTTACTCAGTAAAATCAACCTTGAGAAAAAAGATTGGCTCTTTGAAATGGTTACCACCTGGTTTGGAGCAAAAAAGGTTAGGGTTGCTTTTAGTCATATTTCAATGAAAAGTCTGTTTTTGGTGTTCACTTTAAGTAAGAATACATATGTAGTCCCACTGCATGACTGTCAGCCAATTACACTACTACATGAATGTATCACTTACGTGCTTAACCAGTCCCCATTGAGTATTTTTGTTTTCAGTTTTGCTTATTCAGCTAATGAAATGTAATTTTTGTCAATGATTGTATCTCATTGCTGACTCTACCACCATCATCAGTGGCCCCTGTTTGTGGAATATAAACAACATATGTCATATTACTGGCTTTAAGTATTAAAGTCAGAATGGGGAATGGGGGTACTGTATGAATATTTCAATTTTTTAATTAAAATTTTTTAAGTATAATTGACATACAATGTTACTAGCTTCAAGTATACAACACTGATTTGACAATTCTGTATATTATTTGGTACTCACCATGATTTTTTTTTTTAATTTAAAATGGAAAAAGTATTAATCAATGGATAATGATGAGTTCCATTTTTTTTTTAAATGTTATTCTTGGGCATGAAGATTTCTCCCTATTTTTCATGTTAGCCACCAGAGGTCCATATTATGTTGACTTCTGGCATCATAAAGAAATACTGAGGATAGAGTAATGCCCACCTTCATTTTATGATTTTGGAAATGGCCTCCCAAAAGTTGTGTTAACATTGTCTTCTGGTGGTTTATTTTTGGTAGAGCTTAAATAGACAACTGGCTGCTCTCATCTGTGGCTTGTTTGTGGAAAGTGAAGGAGTCTCTTTTGAGAGAAGACTTGGAACTATTCTTCCTGTGATTGAAAAGGAAATTGATCCTGAAAACTTTAAAGATGTAAGTAATTTGCCAGAGAATAAAACTTTTGCTAATTTTTGTAGTTTTACTTAAGGTGGCTTAGCTAATAGATTAAATACTATTTGTGTTCAAAAAAATGTTTATTAATGAAAGGAAGAATTTAGTGTAGTTGGAAAAAAAAAAAGAATTGTGTGGTTGGATCTTTTTTTTTTTTAATGAGGTTTTAAAGTAAGTTATCTTCCATAGTATATGAAGATCAAAATTTCTCCAGCAGGTGATTTCACCAGCCCACCACCACCTACTCTGGACATTTAGCAACATCTGGAGACATTCTTTTGTTTGTCACAAGTGGAGGGTGGAGGGTGCTGCTAGCACCTAGTGGGCAGAGGCCAGGAATGCTGTAGTTCATTCCACAGTGCACAGGGCAGCTCCCCACAACAGAGAATTAATCTGACCCCAAATGTCAGCTGAGATGAGAAACCCTGGTACAAATTTACATGCTGGAGTAAAAACATCCATCAGAGACTTTGAAATTGTCTTAATTGATTTACATCCATCCTGTTTTTAGATCATGGAAGAGACTGAAGAAAAAGCTGCAGATCGCCTTCTGTTTAGTTTTCTTACACTGATTAGTAAACTCATCAAGGAATGTAATATTATTCAGTTTACCAAGCCCTCTGAGACGTTGAATAAAATCTGGAGTAAGTGTTTCCTTTTTATTTAAATCTAAAAACAAACACATTAGTTGTAATAGAATTACTGATTTGGGAAATTAGAATATGAACACTTAGAAAGTATATAATGTCAGGGAAAAAGTCCATGAGAAAAAGATTTAAAAGGCCCTTTCATATTGATTACAGTGAAAACATTTCTTTCTAAGAAAAGTACTATATATTTATGATTTCACAAGTAATACATTTCATTATCTTGTTTGTACCTAAATAAGAATATTATTATACCATAACACACTCAGTAGGTGATTTTTTAAAATAGCTATAAATAGTCCACCATGCAAATGTGCCATGATTTAGTAAACCATTTAATTTCTATGGGACATTTATTATATATCACTCTTTAAATGAAAAATAAGATCCTAGAATTTTTAATTTAACATATTCAATTTCGATTAGTCTGTAGGAAGTAGACATTGAAGTGAAAGCTTTAAGTACAGTTACTAAGTTACTATATGGCCCACTCTGGTATGACTTCACTGAGGCATGGCCAGATTGTTACAAAATAGAATACACAGAGAACAAAAGTAAAACCCTGTTAATAAAATAAAGCATCATAGACTAAAACTCAGATATGACATGGTTCATCCAGAATTTTAATCATGTTCCCTAAAACCCACAAGGCTTTTCAGAGTGGCCAGGTAACATAGGAGTATAAGCTTTGGGGCCAGATGAAGCTGGGGCCCAGGCCTGGTTTTGCTTATTACAGTTTGGCACTTCAGCTAGCCTGTCTGAAACCTTTCCTCATCTGTAAAATGGAACTGACCATTCTAATGTCACAGAACTCTTGTGAGGTCTAAACAAGATAATACATGTAACACACTTAGCCCTGTGCCTGGCACACAGAAAGCCTCAAGAAATGATAACTTTCCACTGATTTCAAGAATTATTAGAAATAAATGTGTGCCTGTATATATTACTTATGTTACTTAATTTAGAAATTGTTAAGTGTTACAGCCACCTTATCTCCCTTGAACCTAAAACTAATTCTAATGGAACCGGTCTGTTTCTAGGCTTACTCCTACCTCTTTTGTCATTCACCATGTTAGGAGTTGGTTTTCTAGTTGTTTCCAGTGTTTCACCACCTCACTTCTCCCTAGCTCCTTGAGAGTTTCCAGGAAGCGGGGACTATTTTGTCCCTTTTTGGTTCCTAAATCCAAGCACATAATAGATAATGAATGCATACCCTAATCATATTTACCACCAAAGAGTCAGGAAAGTTGAGACATCTGAAAATGCATTTTGGTTCCCTTAGGTTATGTGCACTGTCACCTGAGACATTCACACAGCTGGGTGTGGCTCACTGCAGCCCAGATTTTTGGATTACTCTTTGCCTCTTGCCAACCAGAGGAACTTATTAGAAGACAGAAGGCCAAAAAAACTAAAAAGAAACTCTCAGTACCTGTAGCAATAAGGTTCCTAACAGATGACCTTGAACAAAAGGTAAGGTTTCCCTAAAACCTTTTCTTTGTGATCTTCCTTCTGCTTCATGTAACTATCTTGGGGTTGGCCCTAGGGAGAAACTCTTAACAGCTGACTTTGTTGCACATGTGATTCTATAGTAGTGGGAACTAGAGAAGGGTCAACCTCAAGGCCAGGGTTTTCCAAAATAATTTATATCAGTCTAGTCAGACTTTTGCTTATTTAGCAAATTCATCCTCTATTATTTGTTCAAATTCTTTTTTTTTTTTTTTACCACCCTCAAATTCTTTATCAACATTGGAAAATACTTTTTTAAATGATATCAATACTGTCGGTCCTGCCTCCTAAATGAGATCATGTTCATGAAAATATTAGTTAGAGATCATGTTATATCCATCTCTGATTTCCTAGGGCCTAAAACAATGCATGACTCATAGTGGGAACTCCATAAATACTGAATGAGTAGAAGATGGAAGGAAAGGAGAGAAGGAAAATATTGGAATGTTGTCAAGTTTTCTACTAATAATCTGAGGGATTATATCGCCCCAGAGCTTGAAAGTATCCCATTTTTTGGGGCTGAAGTGCTTGGGGCAGGTAGGAGGCATGACAATTTCTGGTCATGGACCTTCCCTCTCCAGACCTATACAAGTCATTCAGAGCAAAATCTAGCACCTCCGTTGTTGTTCTATTACAGCTAGTTACTTGGAGTTTTTCAAAACAGTGAGAAACATCCTGCATTGTGTCTGCCAATGTCCATTTTCTTTCCACAGATGAAAAGTATCTCCCTAGCCTCTTGCCATCAATTGCATTCCAAATTCTTAGATCAGTCCCTAGGAGAGCAGGTAAGTATTGTCATCCTTCTGGTTTAATAGAAGGGATCTAGTCCGCCAAGTCTAGGAGTAGGCTTACATTTGGTATTTGTGTTTGTTTTCCTATTTTAATGCTTGGGGAATTAAATATAGACATACATGGAAATATATGTTCAGTTCTAATCAGCTCTGGGATCCATCTTGGGGATGGATCCATTAAAAATTCCAATTTAAAATTCCCAGTAAAGATGATGCAGTGGGAGGCTATTTATCTTTTCATGTTTAATTTTAAGATCTATTCCACATTGTGACCAAAGCTTTGAAGGGCATTAGTTGGTTGGCTGGATTGACTGTGATTGTTCTGCAATAAACTGTATTACTGAATTTCCTTCCCTTACTCCTGGAAGCTGAAGAGAAAGTTAATAATGGTCATGTTACAGTGTGGTCTGAGAACTGTCTGTCCTTAACAGAAGGCAGATAAATCACTAAAAAGTTTTATGGATTTCCATATTATAAAATGTAACTATAAGTAAAATGTAAATAGGGAAGCATTTATAAATATGCAGCCAATGTAAATTACTTTAGAATAGGGTCTATTGTTTATTTATCATCTCCTTTGGTAAAGCCGTTGGGTTGGTAGATGATGACACAGATGTCTTATCTGGATATGGCAAGGCACTGGATCATGACTGTTGTCATTATGGACAAGATAGAGCAGCAATGTAGATTAAGTTATGGGACAACTGGAAACTGAATGCTGTATCCAAAGAGTGATCTCAAGTAGCATGCCATAAACCCTGATACTTCCATCCCTTTTTCATGAAAATATAGCATGCTTCATTATATGGCAGGGCCAGAGAAAGAATGGAAAGCTATTTGGTGGATAGCAAAGTGAGACCAGAGAAATCCTGCCAGGGTAGTAGCAGGTAGGGTCTCACATAATATCAGTCTGAACAGAGGTTGACAGATACAACCATAGAAACTTGGGACAGGAAGGGATTTACTAGTACTGACCCAGGATGAAAGAAATTATAGAATTTAGTTCACTGTAATCTTAGGGTGAAGTGGCTGCCACAAGGGGAAAGGGCCTCCAAAACTGGGACTATCTTCAGGAAGGCCAACGTTCTAGAAGAAGGAAATTAGAATCTTGGCATGAATTCTTGATGGCCAGGCTAGCCTTGGACAGTGTGTACAGTTCTGAGTCTTTCATTTGGGGGAAACTTTTGGCACACAGCACCTCTAATAGAGCATCCAGGAAGGTAAAGAAACCCAAAACCAACTTAGCGTCCTCCTTCACATAATTAGTGTGAAACATCTATGTCCGAGATTTCATGGATGTCAGAGTTAGGGACTCAATATATGGGTCCATTATTGTAAGTCTAAAATTGGTCCCTGGGCTGTTTAACTGGATGAGATGGGATTTAAGGAGAAAGAGCTCAGTGCTTTAGAACTTAGGCTTGAATTCTAAAGACTTAAATCCTGGCTGACCACTTTCTTTGTCTTTGGGTGAGTCAATAATTCGGAGCCTTGCTCTTCTCTCCTGATAATAGTACCTAACAGTGATATTTTAGAGTTGAATTAGAATTACTGGGTATAAAGTCATTGCTCAATAAATGGAAACTTATTTGTATGAAGAGATTTAATGGAGGAGGAATGAAAGCTCTCTTAAAAATGTAAATGGATAGTCTGGAATGAAATCATTTCCTTAGTATTCTTTGTGACCTTGGAGGGTAGAACTAGGCCAAGTAGATGAGTTACATGAAAATGGGTTTGGATACACTATAAAGTAGAACTGAAGATTATCAAAATATGGAACAGTCATCAGTTTAATAGTACAATACCCAGTGATGGGTTTTTTTTTCTCCTAATTGTAGAATACCTATTTTTCACTAAGCTGTATTTATTTCAAAATCAAAGTCCCAATTCCTCCCTTTCTCTCCCCCCCTCCTTTAAGGTTGTTAAGAATTTGTTATTTGTAGCCAAAGTCTTATATTTACTGGAACCTGAATCTGAGGATAAGCAAGGTAAGATAAAAGAAGACATGGAAGAACAAGAAGCTTTAGGAGATGGTGTGGCCAGAGGGGAAGTAAAAGAACACAAGTCCTGTGCAGATGTGAAGATGGACTCTGACAAAGAAGAGAACGAGGAGGCAAAGGAAGAACACAGCAAGCCAGCCACGCTGCTGTGGCTGATCCAGAAGTTGTCCCGGATCGCAAAACTGGAGGCTGCCTATTCACCTAGAAACCCCTTAAAGGTGCGATGAATGTATAGAATGAAAGTAGTCACTTAAAAATATACATGAAAAAAGCATTGTAGTGGTATGTAATCCTCCCAAGTCTCTAGAACTTTTTAACCCAAAACTGCAGCAGTAATACCTGCCCCAAAAGAGACCTTGTTTTCTAAGTTAACTGTTTGTAGGGCTGCAAGAGAAACACTTCAAATGAACAATGAATGATCTATACTTTCAGAGATCGTGCATCTTTAAGTTTCTCGGAGCTGTAGCATTGGATCTTGGAATAGACAAGGTGAAGCCGTATCTCCCAGTGATCATAGCTCCTTTGTTCCGAGAAATGAACAGCACCTACTCGGACCAGGGTAACTGCAGCTGTCTTCTGAATCTTCACTTCTTTCCTGAATGCTTCCTTCTTCCTTTCTGTCCTCCCTCCCTCCCTGCCAGAGTTTAAGAAAACTTGCTAGGGATCAAAACAATTAGTAGCAAACAAATAAGGCATATTTGTTATACTTGACTGCCTTCTATATGCTTTCTTGTGTCGAAGAGTGAATGTTTCTCTCCTAAAAGATGTTTTACTAAGCATAGGTTAAATATGCAAAGAAATCCATAACTTGAGGTGGTTCTAAACCTCATGGTGCTATGGACAATAATGAATAAAATGTCCTGATATTCTCTTATTGTTAATTATAAGGCTAAAGTTTGAAATATTTTTTTTAAAAGATTTTATTTCTTTGAGAGAGAGCACAAGCAGGGAGGGGCAGAGGGAGAAGCAGACTCCCTGCTGAGCAAGGAGCCCAATTTGGGGCTCCATCCCAGGACCCTGAGATCATGACCTGAGTCAAAAGCAGACACTTAACGCAGAAGCTTAACCGACTGAGCCACTCAGGTGCCCCAAAAGTGTGAAATACTTTTAAAATATTTTTACTTTGCCTATTTTTCATTTTTCTTGCCTGGGCATTTGGTACATTGCCCTCACTGATCCTAAGCAGTCTCTTTTGATAATAGGAAAAGAAGGAATTGGGAGTTGGAAAGAGAGGAGGTAAAGTGGATATTAAGTTTTAAAATAAAATAAAACGAAGTGAATGTCAAAGCAGGAACTATTCTTAGTCTTACAACCTTGAGAAAGTTTCCTTCCTCTCAGAGGAAAAGCAATGGTCAAGGCCAGGTCTGCTTTGGTTCTCATCACCCAGCATTTATTGAGACCCTGATATTTGCCAGGCACTGGGGTTTCAGTGGTAGAAAAGACCCTACTATTCCCCATCTTCAAGAAATTTGAAACCTAGAACAGCTCCTGAAATTGAATACAAAAACCTGTGGGTTATTTGCATTTGGGAGACAGAAGGCAGGGAAGGATAGGGAAGCAAAGACTTTTGTCAGCTTCTCAGTCTTTATCTCCCCTTGAAAAAAGGTTATGGCCAGAGCTAAACATCTATGACCCATGAACTAGAGAGGGCCTAGAGACACACTTACCTTTCTCCTGTCTGCACAGAGTTGAGCAGGTTAATAAAGTAACCCCAAATGTTTGTCGGGTTCTCAAATTAGTGTCTTCTGAGCCAGGATTCCAAAAGAAAGTGGGCTTCTGGCGCCTGGGTGGCTCAGTCGGTTGAGCGACTGCCTTCGGCTCAGGTCATGATCCCAGGGTCCTGGGATCGAGTACCGCATCGGGCTCCCTGCTCTGCGGGGAGCCTGCTTTTCCCTCTCCCACTCACCCTGCTTGTGTTCCCTCTCTCGCTGTGTCTCTCTCTGTCAAATAAATAAATAAAATCTTTAAAAAAAAAAAAAAGAAAGTGGGCTTCTTGGTGCATCCCAGAGGAGTGGTGGCTGGGAGTGTCATGCCCAACACTTCCGTTCCCCCACCTCAGAAACGTAAAGGCTGGATTTAGATCACTGTTTAATGTTCAAGTAATAAAAGCGATAATGCTGTAGGAGTTTATATTTTGCATGTTGTTGATTTTATAGATGTTCAAATGTGTCCTTTCCTACATGACTATCTCTGATTATTACTCTGTGTATGATTAGATCCTATGCTGAAGAATCTATCCCAGGAAATCATGGAATTACTCAAAAAGCTGGTTGGACTTGAGAGCTTCTCCTTAGCCTTTGCCTCAGTACAGAAACAGGCTAATGAGAAAAGGGCACTCCGGAAAAAGAGGAAGGCTTTAGAGGTACGTTTGCTGTTTGAAAATATGGTCTGTTCATTAGACTTAATATTTTTAATCAGGGGTGTGTACATGCGTGTGTGTCACACTTACTCAGGGAGGAAAGAGGAACTGGCTGTGTTTGAGAAGTGGCAACTTTACAGCTGGGGCTCCAGATTCTCTTTAATGGGAATGTGTTGCATGTGTGATATTTAAAGGTGAACAGAATGGCCCATTTCTGCATTTGATTTTTATTGGTTTAAGATTTACTTTAAAAGTTATATAAAATTTCTATTTTTTTTTCAAGTTCGTAACTAATCCTGATATTGCTGCCAAGAAAAAGCTGAAGAAACACAAAAATAAAAGTGAAGCGAAGAAGAGAAAGATAGAGTTCCTACGTCCAGGCTATAAGACCAAGAGACAAAAGAGCCACAGCCTGAAAGATTTAGCAATGGTGGAGTAATATGCTCCCTCTGCTGATAAAGTATCTCAATTTACCCCAAAGCATGAACTTCTCAGTGTATCTGCTGGTCTGAAATCACAGCAGGTTTTATTATTTAAGTTAAACTGGCAAAGATTGTATATTACACAGTTTAATATAATCATGCTCATATTTTTTAAATTAAAACATTTTCATAATACTGTATCTTCACAGTCTAAAAAATGTGACACTAGTGATAATTTTTTTTAAGACACATTTTAAAATAGCAAGACAATGTAGAAGTTAGGAATAAAACAAGTGATATGCAATACTTTTATGGAGAAAATATAAAATTTTATCAAAAGTCATTAAAAGAAATCTGCACAAATGGAGAAATAACCATGTTCATGAACAGCAAGTTTAGTATCATAAGATACTAAAGTTCTTCCCAAATTGGATTCCATTGGTTAAAGGCATATCTTTGTAAAATCCCAAGAATTCTTCATATTATCCTAACAAGCTGATTCTAAAATTTATATGGAAGATAAGCTGAAAAGGGTGAGTAGTTTTCCCTGTCAGATACCAAAAGTAAGTCACAAGAAGTGCTATCCATAGTGAACATGTAATAAATTCTGCGTGAAAATTAAAAATTTCTACTTGTGCAGACACAACCGGGATATGGTATGTAGCATATATGGATAATGAATGTAGTAGTACCCAGGTTACATAATGAATAATTATGAATCAACAAAGACAATCCAGTAGAAAAAGTGTCAGAAGGGAGAAACAGTCATTGCAGAGAAGAAAAAGAAATGGCCCTTAAACATGAATACTTACCTGATGTGGCTATACTGGTTCCTAAACATTCAAGTACTTACGTACTAGTTGGTAAGTAGTCACTGCCTTGAGATACACAAGTGCCTTGGCTATGTGAGTCCCTAGAATCCCTATCTCCCCACACCAAAAATTACAGGATTAACACCTGGACGAGTAGGGGTCCTACATCAGCTGTGTCTGGTTATTTAAATACTTTGAATCACTCCTATATTCAACCTCAATAATTACAAAAATGCAAATTAACATCAGAATGAAATTCCATTTTGAACCCTTTAGGTTGATATGGGTGACAATGCCAAGTGTTGGCAAGCGTGGTGGAGCAAAGGGAACTCTTATAAACCACTTTGGAAAACAATGTGGTGTTACCTTGTTCACCTGTACGGTATCTTTGTCTCAATCTATACCTGATGTGGAAGCAACATTCTTTAGTGTTCAATATATTTGGGGGGGGCGGGGAAGAATCCATCCTGTGTGCCAGATACTTTGCTAACATTTTATTTAGTCCTCATAGTATTCCCGAGAGCCGCTAAAATTGGTTCTTATTTAACTGATAAAGAAACTGAGACTTGGGCGCCTGGGTCACTCAGTCGTTAAGCATCTGCCTTTGGCTCAGGTCATGATCCCAGGGTCCTGGGACTGAGTCCCACATCGGGCTCCCTGCTCGGCAGGAAGCCTGCTTCTCCCTCTCCCACTCTCCTTGTTTGTGTTCTCTCACTGTCTGTCTCTCTGTTAAAAAATAAATAAAATCTTTAAAAAAAGAAAAAAAGAAAAAAGAAACAGACTCAGGCTAGGTAATTTACCTAAGGGTAACACAGGTTGCAGGTGGCATAATCAGGATTCACACCCAGGATTGAAAGCCTATGCTTTTTGTAATTTCTAATTACGGAGTCAGAATATAGCATATGGCATAGAAATCAAATGTTCAAACATTCTTGAACTTCAGCATCTGTGTTTTGATGTAGTTTGTCTCAAACAGGAGTTCTCACACTTCCAAGGGGTTTGTAATGTGCCAAAAGCATAAACATGGGGCATCACAGAAGGCTGACTGCAATTAATTCTAAGTGATTTAAAGTGCATGTACAGCTTTTATAAAAATTCTTAAAAAATCAGAAGTTAACACTAAGGCAAAAATCAGAAAGAACAAATATCTCAGGGATATTGCACACAATTTAGTCAGTACTTATTGAGTGCCTACTGTATGGCAAAGTGCACCACACTAAATGCAAGGGAGACTAACAATAAGGTATGGTCCCTACCCTCAAGGAGCTTACATTTCTACAACTTAAAGTGCATCTCAAGTATTCTAGTAACAAAATTCCATCACTCTTTTTAAATGTTAACCATGACACAGCACAATTACCAACCAGAGTTATAAAACAGAGTATTAGAGCTAAAAGAAGCCTTTGATACGATCTGTCCAAGTTTCTTGTTTTATGGAAAACAAACTGAAGGAATGGCCATTTGTGCCTAGAACTCATGTGTTCAGATTTTAAGTTTGGTGCTTTTCCCATTTTCAGGGTTCTGCAAAATAATATTCAGTAGATTTTTATAAGTAACATTCAAACTCCTATAACTTACCTATATAGTTGTTTCCTACTAGACAAGGACCTCATAATTTATACCATATTAAAATTAGTGTATGCTCTGTTTACCCATTCTAGCCTTTGTGATAAAACAGATCACAATCATTCAAGTGCTAGTGTTTGCTACTACAGGTGTGTTCAGTATTCAAGATGGCAAGAGTTATGTGCTGCCCAGCATCTGCCTGCCAGGGCCTCTCTCCACCCACACTTCTCACAGTGTTACTAAAGTGCTGGGGTGGGGAGTGGGGGGCACCTAGCTACTTAGGTACAAACACTGCCACTGACCAGAAGGAAACCCAAGTAGAAGTTGAAGCAGTACTATTTTCCTAGCTGGCAAACATATAACCTATCTATTTCAACCATGCATATAACTCTAAGATGCCATAATGTGCCAGGCACCACACAGGATTCCAAGGATATATATGAAAAAGTCTGTCCATCAGGAGCGATTTGGAAAGTATGAAACAATGTTAATTACATTCTCAGTAATATCAGATGCAGCACTGAGAACACTTGGGCCTGGAAGAAGGTCTCCAAAAAAGACTTCAGAGACCAAATTAAGAACGGTAGTGGGGAATGGGTAAAAAGATTAAAGTCCCCCCCCATAAAAAGGGGGTGCCTGGGTGGCACAGTTGTTAAGCGTCTGCCTTCAGCTCAGGTCATGGTCCCAGGGTCCTGGGATCGAGCCCCACATCGGGCTCCCTGCTCAGTGGGAAGCCTGCTTCTCCCTCTCCCACTCCCCCTGCTT